GTAATAAGCAAAGATATTGAATCAGTAATCAAAAATCTCCCAAGAAACAGAAGCCCAGGACTAGATGGCTTCACTGGTGAATTCTACCAAAGATTTAGAGAATAATTAACACCAGTCCTTCTCAAACTCTTCCAAAACACTGAAGAGCAAGGAAAAATTCCAAACTCATTTTACAAGGCCAGCATTACCCTGATACAAAAGCCAGACAAGTACACTACAAGAAAATAAATTATAGGCCAAGATCCCTGATAAACAAAGATGCAAAAATCCTCAAGAAAATATTAGCAAACTAGGGGGCCAGCTCCATGGCCAAGTGGTTAAGTTCATGTGCTCCACTTTGGTGGCCCAGGGCTCACTGGTTCAGATCCTGGGCATGGACTATGCACTGCTCATGGAGCCATGGTGTGGTGGCATGCCACATAGAGGAACTAGAATGACCTACAACTAGGATATACCACTATGTACTGGGGCTTTGGGGAGAAAAAAAAGGAGGAATATTGGCAACAGATATTAGCTCAGGGCCAATCTCTGAAAGAAAGAAAGAAGGAAGGAAGGAAGGGAGGGAGGGAGGAAGGAAGGAAAGAGAAAAAGAAAGCCACAGGTGATCCTTTAAAAAAAAATATTAGTAAACTGAATGTAACAGTACCTTTAAAAAGATCATATGCCATGATCAAGTGAGATTATCCCTGGGATGCAAGGATGGTTTAACATACACAAATAAATAAATGTGATACACCACATTAACATAATAAGGGATAAAAATTATATAATTTCAAGTCTTTTCAATAAGTGGTGTTGAGAAAACTGGATTTCCACATGCAAAAGAATGAAACTGGATCTCTGTCTCACACCACTCACAAAAATTAACTCAAAATGGATCAAAAATATAAAGACATGAAACCATAAAACTCCTAGAAGAAAACATAGAGGAAAAGATCCTTGACATTGGTCTTGGCAATGTTTTCTTGAAGAAGACACCGAAAGCATAGGCAACAAAAATTAAACAAGTGGGACTATATCAAACCAAAGAGCTTCTGCACAGGAAAGAAAATCATCAATGAAATGAAAAGGCAACCTACAGAATAGGAGAAAATATTTGCAAACCATATATCTGATTAGAGGTTAATATCCAAAATATATGAAGAATTCATACAACTCAATAGCAAAAAAAACAGTTTGATCAAAAAAATGGGCAAAGGACCTGAAAAGACATTTTTCCCAAGAAGACATTCAAATATCCAATATGTGTATAAAATAGTGCTCTATATCATTAATCGTCAGGGAAATGCAAACCAAAATCACAATTAAATGTCACCTCACACCTGTTAGAATGACTACTATCAAAAAGATGAGATGACAAAGTTGGTGAGGATTTTGGGAAAAGAGGGCCCTTATACGTGGTTGGTGGGAATGTAAATTGGTATAGCCATTATGGAAAACAGTATGGCAGTTCCTCTAAAACTTAAAAATAGAACTACCATATGACCTAGCAGTCCCATTCCTGGGTCTATATCCAGAGGAAATAAATCAGTACCTCGAAGAGGTATCTGTACACCCACGTTCACTGCAGCATTATTCACAGCCTCCAAGATATGGCAACAGCCTAAACATCCTTTGACAGATGAATGGATAAAGAAAATGTGGAGTATGTGTCTACAATGGAATATTATTTAGCCATAAAAAATAAAGAAATCCTGCTGTTTGTGACAACATAGATAAACCTGGAGGGCATTATGCTAAGTGAAATAAGCCAGACAGAGAAAGACAAATATTGTATGATCTCACTTATATAGAGAATCTTTAAAAAAAAAAAAAGTCAATTTCATAGAAACAATAGAATGGTAGTTGCGAGGGACTGAGGGGAGTAGGAAATGGGGAGATGTAGGTCAAAGTGTACAAACTCTCAGTTGTGAGAAGAACAAGTTCTGAGGATCTAATGTACAGCATGGTAACTATGGTTAATAATACAGTATTGTATACTTGAAAGTTGCTGAGAGTAAATCTTAAGCATTCTCACCATTAAAAAAATGAATTAACTATATGAAGTGATGGATGTGTTAATTGTCTTGATCTTGGTAATTATTCCACAAAGTATATGTATATAAAATCATCACGTTGTACACTTGAAATATATACAATTATATTTATCAATTATTCCTCAATCAAGTTGAGGGAAAAAACTTTCAGAAAACAGAATAGAGGGAAAATTCTTTAACATGATAAACGGCATTTATGAAAAAACACAGATAAGATCATACTCAATGGTGAAAGGGTGAAAACTTCCCCCCTAAAATCAGGATGAAGGTAAGGATGCCCACTTCTACCTCTGCTATTTAATATCATGCTGGAAGTTCTAGCTCAAGCTATTAGACAAAGAAAGAAAAGACATCCAAATTGGAAAGAAAGTGGTAAAACTCTCTCTGTTCATAGATAACATGATCCTCTAAATAGAAAATCTAAAATAATCCACAAGAAAGCTACTGAGTGAATTCAGAAAATTTGCAAGATACAAGATCAACACAAAAAAATCAGTTATATTTCTATATACTAGGATTGAACAATCTGAAAAGAAAATTTAAAAAGTAATTCTATTTACAATAGCATCGAAAAGAATTAAATACTTAGAAATAAATCTAACGAAGAAGTGAAAGACTTACATGCTAAAAACTAAAAGCTATTACTGAAGTTAAAGAAGATCTAAATAAACAGAAAAACATCTGTGTTCATGGATTGGAAAACTTAACATTGTTAACATGTTACTACAACCCAAAGCAGTCTACAGATTCAACTCAATCTCTTTCAAAATTCCAACAGCCTTTTAGGGAGAAATGGAAAAGCGGATCTTCAAATTCCTATGGAATATGAAATTCATCCTCAAATCCATATGGAATATGACCTTGAATAGTCAAAACAATCTTGAAAAAGACAAATAAAGTTGAAGGACTCACATTTCTCGACTTTGAAAATTATTGCAAAGCTACAGTAATTAAAACAATGTAGTACCAACATAAAAATAGACATACAGACTGATGGAATAGAATAGAAAGACCAGAAATAATTCTTCATATATATGTTCAATTGCTTTTTAACAGGTTTCCAAGACCATTCAATGAGGAAAGTACAGTTTTTTCAACAAATGGTGCTGGGGGAACTGGATATCCACATGCAAAAGAGTGAAGTTTGACTCTTACCTTATACCATATACAAAAATTAACTCAAGATAGACCAAAGACCTCAGTTTAAGAGCTAGAACTATAAAATTCTTATGAGAAAACTTTGGGAAAAATCTTCATAACATTGGATTTTTGACTATTTCATGGATATGGCACCAAAAGCCCAGGCCACAAAAGAAAAAGTAGATAAACTGGACTTCATCAAAATTAAGAACTTTAGTACATCAAAGAACACTATAAATAAAGTGAAAAGACAACCTATAAAAATGAGAAAAAATATTTGCAAATCATACATACGACAAAGGATTAATATCCAGAATGTATTAAAAACTCCCAAAACTCAACAATAATAACAATAAAAAATAGAAAAATAGGCAAAGGACTAGAATAAACATTTCTCCAAAGAAGATGTACAAATGGCCAATAAGAGAATGAAAATATGCTCAACATCACTAATAATTAGAAAAATACAAATCAAAACCACAGTGAGATACCACTTTACACCCATTAGGATGGCTATTATTAAAATATATATATACAGAAAATAAGGTGAAGATGTAGAGAAATTGCAACCCTGTGCATTGCTGTTAGGCATGTACAATGGTGTAGCCTCTTGGAAAACAGTTGAGTAGTTCCTCAGAAAGTAAAACATAGCATTACCATATTCCAGCAATTCTACTTCTAGGTGTATACCCCAAGGAATTGAAAGCAGAGACTCAAACAGATACTTGTACACCAATGTTCACAGCAGCACTATTCACAATAGGTAAAAAGTGGAAACAACCCAAATGTCCATCAACAGATGAAGGGATAAACAAAATGTGATATATGCATACAATTAAATATTATTTATTCTTAAAAAGGAATGAAATTCTGATGCATGCTACAATACAAATGAACTTTGAGAACATTATGCATAGTTATATAAGCCAGACACAGAAGGACAACCATTGTGTGAATCCACTTACATAAGTTACATAGAATAGACAAATTAATAACGACAGAAAACAGAATAGAGGTTACCAGGTACTAGAAGAAGGAGAGAAGGGAAATCATCGTTTAATGCATACAGAGTTATGATGGGGATGATGGAAAAGTTTTGGCTATAGGTAGTGGTGACGGGCACACAATATTGTGAATGTATTCAATGCCAGTGAACCACTCACAAATGGTTTAAATAATAAATATTATGTTATGTATATTACCACAATTTAAAAAAAGATAACATAATAAGCTTCCAGATTTTAACACAGGTGAGTATCTCCATGATGTCGGGGCAGGTAAAGATTTCTTAAATCAATACAGAAAGCACTGACCATCAGAAAAATTTTGATAAAATGCTATACATTAAAATTAAGAAGATCTGTTCATCAAAGGATACTGTTTAAAAAGTGGAAAGGCGAGCCACAGACTAGAAGGTATTCCAACTTATACAGTGTCTTAAAAGGCTTAGTATGGTTTTAAGCTTTGATAACTTCAGAAGTACAAACTTACAAAACAACTCATTTTATAGTTTAGTTATTTAAATTCCTCTTTCATTTATTTAGTTTTGTGACTTTTTAATAATAAATTCTTTTTTCCTTTCTCTTTTTTTTTCTTTTGCTGGGGAAGATTGTCCCTGAGCTAACATCTGTGCCCATCTTCCTCTATTTTGTATGTGGGATGCCACCACAACATGGTTGGATGAGTGATACGTAGGTCTGTGCCCAGGATCCAAACCCGTGAACCCCCAGACACAGAAGCAGAGTGTGAGAACTTAACCACTATGCCACTGGGACAGCCCCTTTAATAATAAATTCTTAATGTTAATTTCTTATTTCAGTCTCTCTGATTGAAGATGGCAAATGTTAACCTATGGAGTCAATTAGTAAATATGTAAAACTAGTCCCGCATAGCAGAGGGAGGCCTCCAAGAACCCTTACACCTTTCTGTTGAGCTCAAAGGCACCATCCAGATCTCTTCCTTCCTGGTGAGTTCCCCATTAATGCCCTTTTCTGAAAGCAGACCTAATTCGGGACCACGTCAGTCCATCAGGGAAGTTCTAAAAACTATAGCTCAAAGGGAATGTGTCACCACTGCATTTCCTTTGTCCTCAGATGCCTCTTGCCCTCTACACAAATTCTCTCACCTTATCCTCAGCAACCACTTCTGTGTACAAGCTCTAGGAGAGGCATCCTGTGTCAAGTCCCCACCATGTCTCCCCCAAAAAAGTTCTGTTACGTTTTTCCCTTTGTACACTAGACTCCAATCTCCTTAAACGTGTAGCCAAATATGTGGTCAGAGAAGAATCCAAAAAGATCACACTCCAAAACAACGTTTTGTATCACTTACACAGAGAAATGGCAAACTGCTCACTCTGCTGAAAAGTATTTTCAGTCCTGAATACACCAAACACCTTATGACATATTTTTAAGTTTAGAACTCGCAGAACATATAGTACCTGTTAATAATGAAGTTTAACTAGCTAAAGATATTGCTATGAATAATTCCTAAAATCATCCTGCTATTATGGGTGCTTTTTCTCTTTTATAAACTTCCTGTAATTTTCTATTATTGTATACTTAAAATATATAACATATATTTGTATATATTATACATTTTCTTTTCAGGCTGTGGAAAGAAATTTTATTCATATTCAGCATCCTGGAGTGAGCACAGAGTCTCATTGGACATAAAAAGTAACATTTTAATCATTTATTACTGCTAGAGAGAGTATTTCATTTCTCTCTGGTAAATCAGGACATAAACTCACAATGAACAGCTAAAATATTGACAGAATTGGAAAATCGAAAATTTTCCCTCTAAAGAGTTTTCCTAGGAAGCTGAAAAATTCTGGGATAAATGCATACTTCATTTTTTTGGTTTTTTCCTTGTTTGGCTTACAATTGAGTGTAAAAAAAAAAAGCCTCCTATACAAAACTGTGAATAAATTAGAAGTTTGTTTTCTAATCTCCACCCTCCTAAGACAATAGAAGTAGATAGGTATGATTTCTGTCTCAGACGTGTGTTATCAATATATGTACCCCTAGGACCAAGGACATTTGGCACATCATCACCAGACACAGGATTAAAGGCACATTAAAATCTGTGTTCACTACATTTTATAATTTGCTGTATACAAAAATACAAGATATTCTAATATCTTCAAAAACCAAATGTTTTAGAGCTAGAGAGTTAAAACATCAGGTATTATCCCAAGAAAAGTTGGTGCAGAAGTTATTCAGTAAAGCTGGATATAGTTCTACCATCTCTACATTTACCTTTCCAAATCTGGAGGACAAAATTTATCTTTGACTTGTTTCATCCATCACTGACTCAGAGAACTCTTGTCAAAGGCACATCTACCTCTTCCACTTCCGTGCCAACTATTTTTAAAACTCATGTCAAAGGCCCAGACTTAATGAACAATCCAAAGGCAATACTAGGTTCCAATAGGGAGGGTGCTTGTCTATAATCTTGCTCCAAAAGAGTATGGGGAGTCAGGAATTTGGGGAACAGCTTCCGGCATCTGGGAGCATTGGAACTGATTTGGGGTAGGGGAAGTTCTGAGGGTCGGGACTGTGGGAGGCAGGAAGGGATTAGGAAGCAGATGGTAACAGGGCCTATTTTCAGATACTGCATTTATGTCTAGATAAAATCAGAGATGCCCAGATAGTCCTTTTATTCTAATCCTAGGTTCTCACCAGAATTGACTAACAGCAGCTCCAACTTTGAAATTCATTCATATTAAAGTACAAATGATTGATAAAAGATGAGGGAGAAAAACAAAGAGTTCAAATTTTGTGAAGAAATACAATTACATGGGACTTCTAGGTATGAGTTTTAAGCTGGGAGTATAGGAAATCAATAAACACACTCATTTACCAAATTAGGCCTAGGACTTCTCAGTTTTATTCATAACAAATGTTTCAAATAATGGGAAATATTCATCAATAAAGATTATAGTTACTGAAATATGAAAAAGCTTCCCAAAGGGACAATTCTATGAAGGAAGCCAGTAAGAGGCAAGAAAAGATATAGAGATAATTTGACAATAATGCCTCAGTGTTATTAATTAACCAAATTTTCAAGAACTCAAGCTACCTGGACTGACCTTAAACCCACACATTTTAAGAACACTAAATGTTTTCAACCATTAAAAATTAAGGGCCAGCCTCTGAGAATGAATGAAAAAGGACAATAGACTCATGCAACCCACACACATAAAAGTTCTAATGTCTGATAATGGTATCTCCCTACTTACTCAACTTTATCAGATTCATACAAAAATAAAGATCTAATCAAAATGACTTCATATTGCAAAGGCGACATGACCTGCTCTGACCAAGGGAAAAAAATCATGGTTTATTTACAGAATCGCAAGTAACTTGATGAAGATAACCACAGCGTCTATGGAGAGAAGGTGGAAAATGAGGCCGTACAGGTAGACAAGGGGAGAACGTGATATCACCCCAATGCCATGCTAAGGCGTTGGAATTTCAGCCTGTAAGTCATGGAGCACTGTGGAAACATAGTAAGTAGAATCATTATTAGACTCCGTTAGTTCTTTGTAGCTGTAACATGGAGGATGGAACCGAGGCAGCCGTTATACTAAAAGCGAGTTATCTAGGTTAGAAGATTACTGCAGTTTTCCAGAGGAGAGAAAATACATACTTCAACTAGAATAGTGAGAAATAAAGAGAAGGAGGAAAAATTTGAACTGTATACGGAAGATAAAATCAAAAGGATTTAGAGATGCGTTATATTTGTGAGTGACGCCAGTGCTCTGGTTTGGGCAGTTAGCTGGATAGTGATGCTATTGACTGGAATAGCAGAAAAAAGAAAAGCTTTATAGGCAAATGATTAATTTAGATTAGATTATTTTTTATCTAAGGTGCCTTTGGATAATCTATGTAGAAATATTTAGTAGGAAGTTGGAAATATGAGACTAGGAATTTAGTAGAGAGCCCTAAGATGAAAATCAGCTTTGGAAGTGATTTATAAGATTGTAGTGCAGTCTCTCTACACAAATGGCATTTCCCATTGAGACAGCTCAGATCCAGCGCTCCAAATGTCCCCAAGAAACCAGGTACAAAACTTTACAAAGTAGTGGCCAGACAGTGTCCTAGAGAACCAGGCCCCAACTAAAGGCCCTCAAAATCCCCATTAAAAAAGTAAATCACTGGATTAGTCAAACAAACAAAACCCCTTAAAGTTTGTAAACTAAATTGTTAAGATTAGTCCAAAGGTCTTTCTAATTGTGATTTCTGAAGAGAGTAAAAATAGAAAGGACCCAAGGTAAGAATATCATTTAAGAAAAATGTAAGGCCATGGAAAGGAGTCAACAGAAAACTAGGAGAGAGTCAAATGTTGGAAACTAAAGGAAGAGACAACAGTGGTGAAAAACAAGTTGTTTTAACCATAATTACTTAAATTAACTGTTAATCATTTATTTCTAATTTCAACAATTTTTTTTTCTCTTAAAGATTGGCACCTGAGCTAACAACTGTGGCCAATCTTTTTTTTTTTTTTTCCTGCTTTATCTCCCCCAGTCTCCCCTGGTACATAGTTATATATCTTAGTTTCAGGTCCTTCTAGTTGTGGCATATGGGACGCTGCCTCAACGTGGCCTGACGAGTGGTGCCATGTCGGCGCCCAGGATCCGAACCCTGGGCCACCGCGGCGGAGCGCGCGAACTTAGCCACTGGGCCACGGGGCCGGCCCCAAATTCCAACAATTTCTATTTTAACATTTAAACATTGTTGTAATATTTAAACATTGTTTCTAATACTACCCAACCATCCTCATACTATTTGACTAAAAAATTAAATATTCCTATGTTATCACATACATAGTCAATCTTTATTGCTTGTGCTCGTTTAGCATATATTTAGGCATCCACCCTTGTTTTAGACACTGGGTGGAACAAGACAGATAAGACCCTTACTCTAATGGAGCAAGAGAATTTTAGGAAATATAGCATTAGCAAATGCTTTTTAAGAAATAAACAGGATGATGGGAGGAGAGGTGGGGTGGATAGTTGGCACTGTTTTAGATAGGAAATAAATGCTTGGCTAAGAAGGTGACATTTAGGTTGAAACTAGCAGGAACTGTAGCCAGCCATTTTCAAAGTCAGCAGACAAGTGCTCCAAGCAGAGGAAATAGAAGAACAAAATCCTGAAAAGGGAAAGGGATTGGCTGGTTTGAGAGGATGGGGTGACTAGAACTCATTGAGCGAAAACGAAGGTGCTTAAGGATGAAGTTGGAAAGGCAGAGCCTGCTCCCATAGTGCATTTTTGGCCTTGTTAAGTTTTTAGGATTTTATGTAAATGCAGAGAAAAGACATTAAGAAGATGAGAAGAAGAGGTGAAACAGGGAAGAGGTTTACAAGGCAGTGAAAAGATCTGGAACAGTACTATCCAAGAGAAATATAATACAAGCCACTTGTGTAATTTTTAATTTTCTAGTAGCCACACTGAGAAAGTAAACAACAGGTGAAATTAATTTTAATAATAAATTTCATTAACCCCATGCATCAAAAATATTTAGATATTTTACATTCTTTTTATCATATCAAGTCTTCAACATTTGATGTGCATTTTACACTTAAAAGACATGTCAATTCAGACCAACTACATTTCAGTTGCTTAATTGCCACATGTGGCTAGTGATTGCTGTATTGGACAGTGTGGGTCTTGAAGTTTCAGCAGAATTCACAGAAAATATATTCTTCATTCTCCCTATCCAAGGACTTGGTTCCAGAGAGTGAGAAAGCATTTAGGACAGTATTAACCTCAAAAAGAAGCTAGCTTTCAGGCCAAGGAGGTGCAGAAAGTTTCCTGTGAAGAGATTGAGGATGTTCAGGGGTCTGTGCACAATAGAAGGTAGATTCCAGGGCACACAGAAAAAAGACCTCCTGCCCTATCTCATCCCAGCCCATGATTTCAGGCTTTCCTTCTCGTCCGGATTAGTCTCATCAGCATGTAAACGTGTTATTATCTCTCCTGTTTAAAAAAAATAAACTCTTGACTACTTCTCCCTCTACCTATGACTCCAATTCTCTCCTTTCCTTAAAAACAAAATTCAAAACAACAATCTGTATTGACTCTCCCCAAATTACCTCCTCTCATTCTCTCTTGAATCCACTCCAATTAGGGTTCAGCTTCCATCTCTCCCCAAAAGCTATCCCTGTCAATGACAACAGTGACTTCCATACTGCAAAATCTAATGACCAATGCTCCGTCCTCACCTTAACTGACCGTTCGGGAGGCTTTTACCATAATTTAACATTTTCTTTCCTTAAATTCCAGGACTCTTCAGGTGCCTTTCTGGCTGCTCCTTACCTCCTATGCTGGAACCTATTCATCTCCCTGGCCTCCTAAGACCAGCACTTATCACCTCCTTTCACCCCGATCCTCTCCACAAGGTAAGCTCCCAGAGATCCAGGGATAGATATGTTTTTTCTTCACTGCTTTATCCCCAATATGTAGAACAGTACCCCACACATATTGATGCCTAAGAGATAATTTGTTCAATAAATTATGCAATATGTAAAACACCTGACACCTAAAGCCTCAACAACAACAAGGTTGCCTTTAGTTAGCAAAGCAAATCTTTCATACTTTTTTTTTTTGAGGAAGATTAGCCCTCAGCTAACATCCACTGCCAAGTCTCCTCTTTGTTGCTAAGCAAGAGTGGCCCTGAGCTAACATCTGTGCCCATCTTCCTCTATTTTATATGTGGGACGCCTGCCACAGTATGGCTTGATAAGTGGTGCATAGGTCTGCGCCCAGGATCCAAATGTGGAAACTCAGGCCGCTGGAGCAGAGCACACGAACTTAACTTCTACGCCACCAGGCAGGCCCCAAAATCATTTATACTTTTAAGCTGGGACTCAGTATAAACTCAGTATAAAAGGAGTTTGAAGAGATAGGTTCTAGGTAGTTTCCCCGTAAGCATCTTTGCCGTAGACATTTTTGCTGAGAGCATTTCAGCCGCCAAGCTAATTGGCCACAAGGCAATTTTGCCATGAAAGTTAAAAGAACTAGTTGACAGTTTAGTTTCATTTCTCCATTGACGAATCAACCGCCTTAGATAACAAATACAAGTATGGACTTGACAGAAAATACAGTGATAAGACAGTGGAAGTGTGAAATGAGAAAGTGTAAAGCCAGATTGCATACTATACTAGAAAATGATAACACATCAGTTTGCAAATTCTTTGGAGAGCACCATCCTCCCTCCCACCCATCAAAAGCAAAAGTTTACCACGCTATGGCAAATATAAAAGAGGCGGCTAGTAATTCACAGCAGTCTTCTAGGGCATCATTGATTCTTTAGCTAATGTAGATACCACAGCTTGTTCTCAACAGCCAGATTGCATACTGTACTAGAAAACTAATGGCGCAGTATTGCCATGAATCTACACACATTTTAAATATATTCAAATATTTTGTATTTTGCAAGTCTTTTTAATTTTGTTATTCATTTTTCAGGTGTCATCATGCGCTTTTTAATGTCCCTCTTATTTTTTGTGATTGTATCTTTTACAGCAAAATTGCCTTGCAGCCAATCAATTCTGTGTGGAAAATGCTTGCGTTGAAAACATCTACGGCAAATATGCTTAGCGTGAAACTACCTAGAATCAAATAGATGACCTTGAATCCGTTTATTCTTTCTACTATGTGCCAGACACAGTGCCCTTACATTGTGTTCAGTGGTTGAAAAAAAAAACAAGAAAACAAAAACGTTCTACATAGCACCTGGCCTCATGGAGATGGCCCCCAAGTTAGGATTCTAATATATTAGTTGTTGGGACCTGCTTATAGCAGATTTTAAACCTGTATAATTTGATTTCGGTTTTCAGAGTATGTTAGTGTGAACGTGGGAGGTACAAAGAACATATATTATCTCACTGTACAGAAAAACAATCTAAGGAACAGGGAAGATAAATATTTTCCTCAAGCTTTCAAGTATCTAATAAAAAGGAGAGCTAAGGACTAGAGCCAAGGTTTGCTGACCAGTACGCTTCCCTCTACACCTGGTGGAGATTAAAGTAGAAAGACTCGCTGATCCTAACCTAGCAGAAAACTGGAGAGGAGGCATTTGTTGGATGGAAATGTCTCTGCAGATGCAGCCAGGGAATCAGGCGCGGCCCAGATGCGAGGTCAGAGTGGTGCTAACACAGGCAGGAAAGGTTTTATTTGTGTCACTCCCTCCCCCAAATCTCATTCCCTGTTCGTGTCCTGGGAGCCTGCATGCAAACAGAGCTTCCAGCCTCCTACCGCGCAAGCGCCCCCGCAGGTGTCCGCGTGGGGCTCCTCGTGCAGCCTCTCCGAAGCCGCGCTCTCGGCCACAACCGCGGCGTTGGAACAGCTCGAGCAGGGGATGGGGGTCCCCTCCGAGGAAGCAGCGCCCTCTCAGCGAGCGCTGCTGCCGGGACTCCCGGAGCAGAAAGGTCTGGGACAAAGGGTGCCACCTAGGAGAGAGAGAGATCATGCCCCTCTAGCCGTGTCATGAAGAGAATGTAGGGATCCGCAGTCGGTGAGGACCACGCTGAGGGCAGGCATTCCGAACGCTAGTTCTTCTTTGAGTTTCAATTTCGTACCATTTTCTCTTATTTGCTCCAAAATACAGTCCTGCGGGTGTTTTGCTACTGAGGAAACAGCCTGTGAAAGAATAAATGATACAGGCAAGGTCACAAAGTAACCGGTAAGGACAAGACTGGAACTCAAGTTTGACTTTTTCCACTAAACCTACATTTTCTCAATTTCAAGCGTCAATAGACCATCTCTGGGGCATCTCAAACCTCAAGAGTTTGTGGTTTATGTAAATGGAAGGAAAAAATTATAAGTGAAGAACTTGAAGACAAAGTCTTAGACTTCATATAAGGCTATAGATAAGAGGTTGAAGAAAACAGAGCCATTGGACATTGGAGATTTGAGAGAGTAGATTGTCAAAGCCGTGTGAGAAAAGTTAGAAGACAAGGCAATTAAAAAAAGACTTTTTGGTTGCAAGAAACAGAAAGTCTCTCTTAACTAGTTTTAGCAAAATGAAGATATATTTATTGTAATATATGAACAGATATGTTTACATAATGTAAGGGCAAGAAGACAGCCAGGTTTCCAAAAGAAATTAGAACTCGAAAGTTGAAAGCCTCGGAAACTCAGGAAGTTCTTCTTCTCCTTCTCTGCTTTTCTCTGGGTGTCTCTCTATTCTTCTCACTCTCAAAACTCACTTTCTCTACAACTGTTCATTAGGGTCGAATGTGGCAATGCCACTGCTGCTAACATGAAGAGACCAGCCCAGACAACCTGGGAAAGAGTATGGTATGGACCCAACTTGAGTTAGATGTTCACCTTTGACCCAATCAGCTAGGATCAGAAAAAAATCCCCAAATATTAAACATGGAGACTGGGGAGGACTGATATGAGTTATACAGAAATCCCAAAGGTTGTCCATAATTTTAATGATCATTATCTGTGAGTTTTTATTGTCTTATCTACTGAACACCTTCCCTACGTTTTCCTAGGTCCCTACCTTGTGAAGCCTACCTTTCCAAAATAGAATTATAGCACTTTACTTCTCAGCATCTGATGCAGCTCATGTAGGCATGTGATATGGGTTCTGCCAGTTAGGCACCCCTGCACCAGACTTTAATGTGGAAGGAAACTACATGGAGTAAGTGAATAAACCAGAGCAAGCAGAAGTCTGATTTTCCTGACCCTGTAAATGGGGGTAGGAGGTGGGGGGAGGGGGTGGGTAATGGGTAATTTCTAAAGGGATTGATGGATTGGGGCAGCCATCATATACTATTTATGCAGTCCAATTTAAGGCTGGCAAATGAACAAAACTATTTGAGCAACAATCATTGGTGATTTTTTCAAGATAGTAATATTGATGGTGTGATAAAAAATATGTGCCAGGGGATTATGAAGCAGTGAAAAATTAGCAGCTCTAGGATTAGATTTCCCTCAGTTTTAAGGATCCTAACCTAGAAAATAAGTAATATTAATTTGTCTCCATATTTTCTTACAGAAAAGAAACACATTTATCCTCTCATTTCTCTATTGTGTCTTAGGGAAAATGCCACAAAGTCTGAATCACGTGTGGATAAAAAAGGAAGCAAGAATGTTGGGGGTAAGAGTTAAATACTACTTGAGCAGATAAATGATTCTATTTTTGCAAGTAAATATAAAAAGGAGATTTTAACCACCTCTATTACGAACTCCCCAAATAGGGGAGAGTTAATAAAAGTGTCCTGAAATGGTTGTGTAAATCTGCATTTTCTACATGCAGCTGGAACATATAAGTGGTATATCAAGCTAAAGTTAAATAAAGCAGAAATTATGAATCTATCAACTACATTTAAATAACCCAAAATCATTACAACCTAGTCATACTCCGAGAAAATATACTCTGAGACTAGAAAAGTATATAAATTCCCTTTGTGGCATCTATAAATTAGTTCAAGCTAAGCTGATGATGACATGCCTAAATGAGATGGTCAGATTGTGGAAACTATAGTCAGGAGAAGCTGCGGACCATGGAGCTTTGGGGTCAGTTGTCATAATGGCACTATGTTCCTGATATCATCCCCAACATGCCACTGTTTTCCCAGTAAACTCCCATCAAATCTAGTAGATGATATTCTTTTCTTTTTATTATCCACCAATGTTGTTGGATGATGGAGCCAGATCAGGCATCAAATCAGCAAGATTAAAGCTTGGGCCAGGAATATTCCCAACATCTCAAGTCTGTTATTGCCTTCGCATATTTAAGATCTACGTGATCCTCTGCCAGAATTGTACTAAAAACTTTACATAAAGCAAGCAACGAATCCAACGTTTCCTCTCCTAATTCCCTATGTTATGATGTTAAAGATCTGAATTCCTAACACCCTTGTCCACTTATCTGGTCTGGGTATTGAGAAGGAATAGTTAAAGTGTGTCTGAGAATAAATCGGTCTGTTACTGGCCACATTCCTGTTCTTCTAATGAGATCTACCACCATGCAAGTGTTCAGGTCTCATTTCATTCAATAAAACATTCCAACTTCCAGTTCTGACAAGATGGAGTGGATACACTTCTCCCTATTCCTACTACTAATTACAGATAAAACTGGACAAATATAAGAAGACTCTGAAAGGTACAGAGAAGGCAGAAAAGCTAGGGGCCTTGGAACCCAAGGAATGGTATGGTGGTGAGTTTCCTTGGTTTTCTTTTTGCTTCAAATATCCCAAAACTCAAGAAGCCTCCCCAAAACACTAATAAGCACAGACACACACACAAAAACACCAAGAAAAGCCTGTTTTCTCCAGCCATAGATCCAGGTAAGGGACAACCTAGCCAGGTAGAAAACTTTTAGCAATAACTGCCCTACTGTAGCCAAACACCATAGGAAAAACTATGATCCCAACCACACCTCCATAAACAAAGGCCATGTGGGAACCTAGACTTCCACCATCGCCTGACTGTAATAAAATATCCCTTCCCTTCTCCAGGGTGGTGTCAGAGGCAGCTAAATGGGAGGCTGAGACCTTCATCATCTCTCAGCAAGAATGAGCCCCCTACCCCTGCCTCCCTGGTGTCCATAGAGGCCACATGGGAAAGCACTACTGTGTTGACCCTATCGCAGCCAGTCATAATGGTGTCATCAGAGGCCTGGTGAGGAGCCCTAAGGTGCCCCTCTCCCCACCAGTGTCAATGGAGGCTGACTGGGAAATCTAATTCCCACCTAGCAGTGACAAGGCTTTGCCCCCAGGCCCTTGCCAGCACCATATCAGAGACGATCTGCTGAAACAGAAGATTTAAGAATATGATTTTTTAATTGTACTAAAATACACATAAAATAAAATTTGCCATCAAAACATTTTTTTTCTCCACAAAGCCCCTGTACATAGTTGTTTATCCTGGTTGTAAGTCATTCTAGTTCTTCTATGTGTGACGCCACCACAGCATGGCTTGATGAGAGGTGTGTAGGTCCGCACCCAGGATCTGAACCTGGAGGTGGAGCACACAAACCTAACCACTTGGCCGTGGGGCCGGCACCTCAAAACCATTTTAAGTGTACAGTTCAGGGGCATTAAGTACCTCTGCAATGTTGCACTACCATCACGACTATCCATCCACAGAACTCTTTGCATCTTACAAAACGAAGACTCCGTACTTATTAAACAATAACTCCCCCATTCCTTCCTCCCCCAGCCCCTGGCAATAACTGTTCTATTTTCTGTCTTTATGAACTTGACTACTCTAGTACGTCAGCTAAGAGGAATCATGCAGCACGTGTCTTTTTGTGATTAGATTATTTTACTGACCATAATGTCTTCAAGGTTCATCCATGTTATAGTATATGTTAGAATTTCCTTCCTTTTCAAGGTGAATAATATTTCATTGTATGTATAACCACATTTTGTTTACACAGTCATCCATCAATGAACACTTGGGTTGCTTCCTTTGGTTATTGCAGATACTGCTGCTATGAACATAGGTGTACAAATGTCTATCCAAGTCCCTGCTTTCAATTCATATGCACACAAACACACACCCATATGCACACACCCTGTGGAGTGGAATTGCCGGGGCATATGGTAGTTCTATATTTAACCTTTGAGAAACTGCCAAACTGTTTCCATAGCAGCAGCAGGATTTTACCTTCTCACCAATAGTGCACAAGGCGTCTAATTTCTCTACGTCCTCTCCAACACTTGCTATATTCTGCTTTTTTGATAGTAGCTATCTTAGTGAATGTAAAGCAGTATCTTATTGTGGCTTTGATTAGCATAATGATTAGAGATGTTGAGCATCTTTTCATGTGCTTATTGGCCATTTGTATATCTTCTTTGGATATATGTCAAGTCATTTACTCATTTCTTAAATGGGTCGTACAGCATGTTTTGTTGTTGTTGTCAAGTGGCAGGAGTTCTTTATATTTTCTACATATTTACTCTTTACCAGATATATGGTTCACAAATTTTTTCTACCATTCTCTGGGTTGCCTTTTCACTGTCTTGATTGTATCCCTTGATGCAAATAAGTTTTAAATTTTGATGTAGTTCAATTTATCTATTTTTTCTTCTGTTGCCTGTGCTTTTAGTCTCATATCCAAAACATCATTTCCAAATCCAATGTCATGAAACTTTTACCCAGTACTTTCTACTAAGAGTTTGTGTTGTCCCAGCCTGTCGATAGTGAGTTTCCCACCTAGGAATGCCTGAGGCACTTGCCCAGCCTGTATTTATTCATAGTGAGCCCCACACATTCTCCACCCCGCCCCACTCCCACCAGGGCCCATGTTGTGTCTGGGCCAGCCTTTATGGTTCTTATTGTGATCGCAGAAGGCACTTCAGCAAGAAATCGTCAGACAACTTTTAAGAAAAAGATTTATTACTCACAGGTCCTGGAGGATACAGAGCGTGCCCAGAGGCAACATAAGGATGTAGGTAGTAAGGATGTAGGTAGACGAAGAGGGAAGGATTATGGATCTGGGGCTCTGCCTTTATTTCAGGCCCAAGGGTGGGGTGTCTAGGATTTCACAGGTTCACTCTTTATTGGTGAATTTGAAGCATTACAGTGGGAATTAGGGCATGGAAAGGGAGATGATGAGTCACTCACACAGTTAGTTTTCTAGGTTACCCAGGGCTTTCTAAAAGGAGAACTTCAGGGAGTTTGGGGGCACCCGGTTTCTAGTCTGGTTGTTTTGCTAGCAGCTGTGTCATAAAGCTGGCAATATGTTTATTCGCGAGGAATGTCTTGTCTTTGAAATGAATGCTTCGGCAAGCAAAAGTCTAATGCCAAGCACTTACATTACAATCAAAAAGCTTGATGTGAGGCACGTACACTACAGAGTTTTATAGTTTCAGGTCTTGGATCCATTTTGAATTAATTTTTGTATATGGTGTAGGGTAAGGGTCTGACCTCATTCTTTTGTATGTGAATATACAGTTTTCCCAACACTATTTGTTGAAAAGATTGTCTTTCCCCATTGAATGGTCTTGGCACCCTCGCCAAAAAAAAATTTGATCAGATATGTGAGAGTTTATTTCTGGACTCTATATTCTATTCCACTGGTCTGTCTTTATGCCAGTACCACACTGGGCTTTTTTGTTTGGTTTGTTTGGTTTGGTTTTTGTTAAGATTTTATTTTTTAGAGCAGTTTTAGGTGCACAGCAAAGTTGAGGGGAAGGTACAGATATTTCCCATTTACCCCTGCCCCTACACATGAATAATCTCCCCCATTATCAACATCCCTCACCAGAGTGGTACATTTTTGTTGCAATTGGTGAACCTATATTGACACATTAAAACCACCTGAAGTCCATAGTTTATGTTATGATTTACTCTTGGTGTTGTAGATTGTATGGGTTTTGACAAACGTATAACCACATGTATCCATCATTATGATATCACACAGAGTATTTTTCACTGACATGTAAGTTTTCTGTGCATCACCTAGTCCCCCCCCACCCTGACCCCCTGCATAATCTCTGGCAACCACTGATCTCTTTATGGTCTCCACAGTTTTGCCATTTCCAGAATGTCATATACTTGGAATCAAACAGTATGTAGCATTTTCACATTGGCTTCTTTCACTTAGTAATATGCATTTAAGGTTCCTCTAGGTCTGTTCATGGCAGCTCATTTGTTTGTAGCGCTGAATAATATTCTGTTGTCTGAATGTACCTCAGTTTATTTATCCATTCACTTACTGAAGGACACCTTGGTTGCTTCCCAAGTTTTGGCAATTAGGAATAAAGCTGCTATAAATATCTGTGTTCATGTTTTTGCAGACATAAGTTTTCAGCTCCTTTGGGTAAATACCAAGGAGTGCAATTGCTAGACATTAAGGTAAAAGTATGTTTAGTTTTAAAAGAAATTGCCAAACTGTATTCCAAAGTGGCTATACCATTTTGCATTCCCACCAGCAATGAATGAGGGGTCCTGTTGCCCTACATTCTCACCAGCATTTGGTGTGGTCAGTGTTCTGGATTTTGGCCATTCTAACGGGTGTGTAGTGTACCTCATAATTGTTTTTATTTGCATTTCCTTATGACATATGATGTGGAGCATCTTTTCATATGCTTCTTTGACATCTGTTTATCTTCTTTGGTGTTTGTTCAGCTCTTTTGCGCATTTTTT